TACTATGTCAAAATGTAACGAAAATTAACGCTTACACACTGTAGAATACGCATTTAAAGCAACCTTGATTTGCATGTTCACAATGGAGCTACTAGCGCCACATTTATCCACCAACAGCGAAATTTGAATAGACATAATATTTTAGTAATATAAACAAGCCTGCCAAATTTAGTTTATCTAGAACAACTCTTTCTTGGTGTTGGGATTTTTTTCCCCTCAGTGTGTAATATGTTAATTGTTATTACGACTATGTTAATTGTTATTAAATATCTTTCTAGGCCGGGCCTTCTAGTATTTTTCCGAGTCTACCTCGATCGAAGAAAACTTCAGCAAGATGATTCGAGCGTCATTGAATTAGTCAAAGACCTCGTCAGAACTGATTCACCTGCTTTTGGTGCACTATCCATCGACAAGGAATCAGTAGATGTCGATGGTAAGTAAAAGTTTTTTTTAAAGAAATCTTTGTGAAAAATATTATGAATAATCTACCTTCATATTTGGGAGATTAGTTTTATTTTCGGTTCGTTCGCTTAGATCACTCTGAATGACAAGGACTTTACATAATATGTAGATTTATTTAAGGGATCTCGATTATTAATGCTTAAAAATTAAGTATCAAAATATACATTTGCTAAATAGCTTAAAAATTCCGGAGCTCCAATTGCTCCCTGTCGCATCTCTACTCTCTTCGCATCCAGTCTGTACTAAAAATCCTTTCTCACAAAAAAGTCCTTCGCTTTTCCTCTTTCAACCCCCCACTTTAGGGGAACGACACTTCCCGTGTCCCTCATCCTCTGTCCCTCAAGTCAGGGGTCAATCAAATGCCTGGGAGAGGAACCAGAATCCAGACAATATTATTTTCTTAAAGTGAGTGAATATTTCTCTGAATAAAATCTTGCCGAACTTAATGGAAAATCGAATGACGAGCTTTTAAGGAAGAATATTAAAATTAACATTTTATTCAACTTAACATCTCCAAGAAATCTCGTCTAAATCATGTGGATACAGATTGCGATATATTGAAAAAAGTGACTGTTCGATGCGGCGCATAGAAATTTGGGATAATTTGAAATATAGTGAGAATATATCAGTTAAGCAAGCTATGTTTTTCAATATAATTTACCAGTATCGAGACGCAATTTTTCATAGAGTCAAAGCAATAATGCTTTTCTAATCTTGTCAATTGCGGTTCGATGAGTTGTATTTTGCTCATTGTAATTTTAATTCTATTTGCACTGGAATTTTAAATCGTCTGAATATTCGGTAAGTCGAGCAACAGTTGATTAAGTAAATGAATGAAAGGGGTATTCAATAAATTTTATTATTCACTATAAAAAAAATTTAAATAAATTTTACTATTCACTATAAAAAAATTTAAATAAATTTTATTATTCACTAAGCAGATATTTATAAAATTTTTAACAAAATTTCTTTTCTCTTGTTAAATCCATTTTGAGTTAAGTAGAAAGCCTGGGTCTTTATAGCTAGTAAATAAAGTTTCTTTAAAACTAAAAATAAGATTTTATTTTATTTACCAAGGAGTTGATATGATGAAAACGGCCTCCACTAATTTAAGTCAATCGAGTTTTCCAATTAACCATAGCCAAATTGAATTTTAAAGCTGATGCAATCGGGAGGATTCTTAACAGATTTATCTCACTATCAAATCTGTAAACTCTTGTTCTTTTTAAATTGTTTTGCATTAATTATTTATGTTTTGCAATTTTTTTTCTTTTAACAGAAAATGAGGAATGGCTGGCCATGCCTGGTTTAGATAATCGTGTAGCTAAAGTACTAAATACCACATCTTTAACTACTAAAAGACCTCATTTAGAAACAAGAAGTTCATTAAGTACAGCTTTTTCGTCAACTACACAACGAACAGAGCCAACAAAAAAACAGTTACCTGTTACTCGTAGACCGAGTAAAACAACCACTTCAAAATCAACACCTCAACTCTCTGTTGTACCGAAAAATCCTGTACCTGTTCGGGAAGTTTCAAGAACTGGTAATTTTTTTCCCTGTTTCAAAAAGTAAACATTTAATATGATCGCGAATGAAAAACTAATTAGTCATTAATGTCATGCCACCTAAATCCCTGGATACTTAAAGTAGCGACATGCCGCCATTTCGGTGACTGCAGATCTCTTGGGACCACCACTTTCAATGTATAAATACTGAGTTTCTGTTCTTAAACGCCACTTTTTATTGACTAATGATTTCATATTCGTAAAGATAACTTAAACATTTACTTTTATTCCTTTTAATTTTTCTTTCTGAAATTATATATTTTGTTTTTATTCTATTCAAGGAAAATAATGTCTGATCTAGAAGTTAAAACTTTCTGATTTAGTCTTCCATAATACGCTGTAACTTTTTTTACTCTTTGAAATGTTTTTGCTGTAGGTTTCTTATGGGGCTCAAAGTGTTAAATATAGTTAGACATAATTAAAGTAATATCAGTTTTCTAAGAGATTTTAAAATTTTGTGGTAAAACAGTCAATAATTAGTAAATGGGAGCTTTGTCACATTTAATAACAAAATAGATGAGTTCTGAATTGCAAAAAAAAATAATAAATATTTCTTTGAGAAATCTTATTCAAATTTGAATATTAAATATTACAAATTTATTTTGCACTGTAGCAAAAGTTTACTATAATGCACGAAATATTTGAAATAATAAATAAATTAAGAAACTAAGATTTCAAATAGGCATTCGATCATCTTATTAAAACGCAGACATTTTAAATTTATTCATTTGAAAAGTACTTAATATGTTACACTTGTGTACTTTAAATTCTGGCAAAAAACACACAAATATTTAAATGCTATTAAAATTTACATTTAAAGCTTTCTAACTAAAAATATTTAATTTAAAAACAATATTGTTAGTCCATTTTCATTTCTTTCAGGTGAATATATTTAATGAAATTGAATTTGATAAGCTTCTAATTGAAAGCGAAAAATATTTGCTCTACATAGTTAAATAATATCATGTACAATTTGAAACAAATGAATACGTAAATTAATTTCAAACTTACCTTTTACAATTTGCTGTTATCGCTTGGATACCATTTATCTCTGCCAATTCTATGCAGGTATATTTTCCATCCTTTTTTATAACCCGATCTCCAACAGGTAGCGATATAATTTGAGGTCGAAATTTGTTTTATTTGAACAACCGTAAGAGCAAAAACTAGCCATTTTAAATAAAGTTAAAAGAAAAGCGAAAAATAAAAATAACAGATCGTTCCAAATCATACTTCGTCGTTCAAGCCAGTCAATAAAATATTGGCAGTTTATGCATGTGAAGGGGCCGAGGGTGAGTGGTATCGATCCTGGTCAAATTGTTCTAGTGTAACGTGCTCGACTTTGCGCACAGGTCATTGTGCTACCAAAGCGAGGAGCCAGCCTCTCCGTAGAGTAACAAAATTAGGATGGCATGTTTTCAAATCATCATTACGGATGTTTCATAAAATGGCCCATTGTGAAGTGAAGCTCAAGTACGATGTAAATAAACAACTACAACCTTCCACTTTCTATTATTTTTTTTAATTTGTAAGCAACATTTATTTTATATTTAACCTAAAATGTCAGTGTGTAATATAGAAGTAAAACCATCATAAATAAAAACCAACACTAATTTTTCTCTTCTCTATTAATAGAAATTACAAATGAGAGTTATTTGTAAGAGTTATTTGTTATTTTATTAATCTATATCCAAAATTTATAAATATTTTTCCTTTATAAAATTTCTTTGATTAAAACATCTGAAATGTGAAGTGTACTTTTCCTAACATTTCAATTTTTTGTTACTTTATAGGTACAGGCCAAGTCATATCAATTGGTCCATTAACACCAGAGGAAGATACTTTAGGTTTTAGCTATGGACAATGGAAACCTGTACCCATTGAAGATTCTGTTTCACCTTCATTTGGAGATCAAAGGACTCCTCCAGGAAGAGGATCTGTTCGTCTTCTAGAAGACGCAGCTCCTGCCCGTCGAAATCCACCCCAAAGACCACCACCATCTCCCCCACCCTTACCCAGACCATCCGGACCATCCTCTCTAAACATAGGTGTAGGCTCAGTTAGCGTGCTTGAGGATCCACTGTCCCATGTGGACCCCATTCCTGTTCGTAATCTTAGACCTTTGAGACCTATCTTATCTGAAGGACATCAAGTAGGTGACGTGGCGTCTTCTATAATGTCATCTGTATCGTTAGTTGTGAGAAAACCTAAAGCAAATCAAACATCTGTTCCTGAAAGTGGAAAATTAGAAATGGCAAGACCATTGAAAGCAGATTTGCGTCGACTAATTGAAGAACCTCCGTTAAACCGTAAGGAACACGCATCATTTAGATTTTTGGAAGATGAAGAAGGTCCTCCTACTTCAGACAAAACAACAACGGATGATTTACTTAGTTCTATTATCTCTGATTCTTCTGAAAGTGAAGATGACTCGCCAACTACTACGGATGATATAAAAGTGAAATCAGAAATTGAGGAAAATGAGAAGAACACAAAATTGTTGGAATCATTTGTTGAGTACGCCGAGGAAACCGGTAACAGGTCTGAGGTTTTGACAACAACGCAAAAAGAAGAAACTGTAACCACTGAACAGACATATAAAATTATAGATCTAATCGAGGAAAGTAAAGAGACATCCGTAGCCCATGAAATAGATATTAGCTCTACTACTATTGCTACAACACCTGCTAAAAATGTAGAGGACGAAATACATCCCAATGAAGCTAAATTGAAAAATGAAACACTTCCACTGTATAGTTTAAAGAGTGATATAGGTTTACGAGACTTGAATAGAGCAGAAGTTGTTGATACTTTGCAAGATAATGAGGATATAAAAGAATCACCAAATTTAGAAGAAGAAGAAATTTTACCTACTGAACTTTCTGAGGAAACACAAAATATAACTGGACATGAATCGATGACTACCACGAAAAATTTGGATGCAGACATTTTCGAGCAGACATTTTCGAGAGCCGATAATGCAGACATTTTCGAGATGACAGGAACAAGTGAATCGGCAGAAAACTTAAATCTTGATAGGACAACTCAAAAGGATAAATTCGAATCGTCTCATGACTATGATCTAGAAATTAGTTCGACACATTCTCAGATATCTTCAGATAGTTCATACACTCATGAGGCAACAGAAAGTTCCTTTAGAGAGGATCTTTTTGAAGATTATTCCACATCCGAGGAATACAATGTTTTTGATACAACTAATAGCTCTCTTTCAACTGAAAATTTTGAATCAGACAACCATCTCATTAAAAATGTTTCTTTCAACCATTCTAATTTAACCCTAGATTTGCATACTAAAGAAGGTCACGGATTTCATCAGCCAATTCCATACGAACCCTCATTGACTACCCGTTCAGAATCTTTTTCACCTTCGAATTTTCCAACTTCTGTTTCATCGTCTGAAGAAGCTGCAACAACCCTTGAAGTAAATGTTTCACCCGATACAAGTAGTAATAAAAACAGTGTTTTTAACGAAAGTAATGATGAGGCATCGACTGTAACTGCAATGAAAATATTGCCCATTTTTAATTTCGGTAGTACTTTCAGAGAGGAACAAAGTTCACCAGGAGATGAAAACACAAGCTCTGTTTCTATAAATGCTTTGACAGATGCGCCAACTACAGCTGTGAAAATTTTAGAACAACCCTCTTCTACTACTGTTTTTGAGATCACAGAAACATCGTCAGGAAATTCATCTTCTTCCCAAGATTCTAGCTTCTCATCTGAAATTTTAGATCACCTCCCAACTGAATCCACTGAATCAGTTGAAATACAAGGAGGTGTACCCAAAATTGTAGATCAATTCCAGGATCTTGGCTTCAATCCCAACGATATTGATTCAAATGACGCGATTGTGATTGGATCAGATAATGATCTAATAAATAATGAAAACTTCGATCCAGCCACCCCTTTCTATGATGATTTTAGTGGGGGTGGTGTGGAAATCATTCGACACATAACTACTATACCTCCCACATCCTTTGCTGTTAGCCTTGGAAAACACCCAATTTTTATTTCGAACAGTAAGTAACACTTGAACTAAAATTAATCTTATTTTAAAACATTTTTATCCCCTTCAGGACCGGTAAAATGCGAAAAAAATCTCTTCCAGATTCGAATACTCCGAGAGTATGTGTTAATGAAAAAGCCCGAAGTCTAGCAAGTTCTAGTTTTTTTTGGAGACGATAGATTACAGATTATATTCTAGATTATATTATAACTCTAGATTGTATTATAATATTAGATTTATAATTACTAGATCAATGCCGTCACGTCCATGTGTTCTTATCACGTTCGTGTGTTTTTGATTACGTCCGTGTGTTCTTGATCACGTTCGTGTATTATTGAGCTTTAAGAGTCAGAAAGACTCGTTTTATATATCATACCGCAAGCCGTGAAGAGCGAATCTCACGATCACTTGCATGTGATTACGGTCCTGAAGGATAAAACATGCTTAATAATTTTTAAAAAAATTTGGATATAATTTTTCTTAAATTTTCATTACTTTAGTATTGAAAATAAATATGAAATTTTTTGCATGTTTTCCAATTAAGAGATTTATCATCATGTCATATTTTACAATCTACTATTTCTTTTCGGAGTGTTTTGTGTCAGATTTAGTTTATCACACCGTTTAAATTAATTGATTTAAGAAAGTAATTTTTAGGCGTAACGAGGTTTATAGCTGATTCTGGATTTTGTACTATTAAACTTAAATTCTTTCAATATTTCTTGTTTTAATTTGTTTAAATAACAATGTGACAATTATTTAAAGTTAAAAATATGTTTTCATGAGAAGAAAAAAATTATGAAAAGTTATGTTTAAAAGTTTTTCTCCCTTTTAGATTGTTCTGAAGATGAAATGCAATGTAGAAGCGGAGAATGCGTGGATTTAGACAGTCGATGCAATATGAGAAGAGATTGCAGAGACAACTCAGATGAAAAAAACTGCTGTAAATTTAGTTTTTTTTAATACTATAACTTTTTATAAATAACATTCAGTTTATTGTTTTATACATAGCATATAAGAAAATTTCATTTTTGAAAAATAATGTTTAATAATGATAAGCTTGAGCTTTCAATTAACGTTATAAAGAACATTACTGTAATCAAAATTTACCCTATTGATTATCAGTAATTTCACAATTGACATGCTGCGCTACGCATCTTTTTATTCATAAAAACATTTCAAGATCTA